CTCCCGTTGCGGAGCACAGGCTCCGGACGCGCAGGCTCAACGGCCATGGCTCACGGGCCCAGCCACTCTGCGGCATGTGGGATCTTCCCGGACCGGGGCACGAACCCGTGTCCCCTGCATCGGCAGGCGGACTCTCAACCACTGCGCCACCAGGGAAGCCCACCAAGGAGGGTTTTTTAAAAATAATTTTCAAAGAAAGAAAGTTTAATGAAGTCCTTTCCAAATCACTTTTGGGTATTCTTTGCCTTGAAGAAATCATCAAAAAGACATAGTATGGTCATAATCTGGAAGCTGGGTGGGAGTTTAAGTGAGTTAAGTATCTTGCCAAGTCTGTGTAATACATCTGAGAGATCAGCTATTGAGATATGTATATACACACACATAGATACACACACACACACACATATATACACAACACACATACACACACACATATATATGAGTTTTGAGTAATGACTAGATAAGTTACAGTCCCACTGAGGCTGCCTAGGTGAATGAGCTTGTCGGCAGAGCAGGGCCGTGTGCGTTCTTGGTGCTCCCAGTCATTTGAGGTATACTTTGTAGTAAGAAGATTGACCTGTGAGAAAAAAGTATGTCTAGTGAGTATGTTTGTAACCAGCCCCAGGGACTTCTTCACTGGCCATTTTGGCTCAGCTGGTACCATTAGATCAGTTTTTCTAGCTTGTGGAACCATCTCATTTCTGGATACCGCAGGTTTCAGGAATACCTTTGTCGAGAAATTATTTTTTCTCTTAGTTGATAGTAAGGTAAGCTGCCAAGATCTTGGCTTCTGTTCACTTTTCAACATCAGTCCCTTTAAAGTTCAAAGGTTTTTACTTAGGTTTTACAAATAGCAGATTATTTTGGAAAAATTCTATTCAAGACCAAGTTTATACCTTTGTGTATACCATAAACTCTTAACAATTTACAAAAATAGATAATTTTTCCTAATCTTTTTTCTTAAAGAGATGGATAAGCTTGGAGAGCTCTAGTTTTTCCATTTATATGAGAACTGTAAAACAACAAGTGAACAAGTCTTTTCTGTGTCTGGATCAAATGGAGTGACTATTTCTGTTCCTTTCCTGCACTGCTTTCCAGAGTAGAGTTAACAAGAGGCAGTCTCTGCCTGTTTTGTTGTTTACTTTTTTACATGGGACATAAATCTGCTCCCCTTTGTCCTTGGAGTAGACTCCTGGGATTTTTTTTCCTTCTGTTTCTTTTGGTGAGTAGTCAGAAGTTGGATGCTGAATGATTCAGAAAGAAAGGAACAAGAGAGTAAGAACTATAATGCAAACATCAGGGCTAAAAGGAAGAGATAGTTCTTTCTTTAAACCAGGAAAATACCTTTTCTCTTTAATGACTATCATTTTTTGAGTACCCATGCACAGATACTTTATGTACATTATCTTGTTTAATCCACACTATCCTGAGAGGTAGAAATAACTCCCTCCCTTCGTTTTACGGACAGGGCCACAAAAGAGTAAACAGTTTGCTTTTAGCCATATGCCCAGTAAGTAGCCAAGTCAGAATTTGAATCCAGGTCCAACTTTAAAGCTCTCTGTATCTTACAAGCTGCTAATTTTGGCCTAAGAGTTAGAAAACTCTTAAAATTAACTGTGAATTTCTGGTGGGTTGCATTAACTTTCTTGGCTCTTGCTTTCTTCATCTGTAAACTGAGAGGATTGAGCTAGATCTTTAAAGTTAATTCTGGTTGTAAAATTCTGTTATTTCTGCTTTCTTTATTGAATTGAAATGGAGAATGTGTAAAGTTTCTACTTAAGTTCTCTTGTTTGCAGCCAGTTTGGTTTGTAATCTTTACTTTTAGCCTGATGATTTTTTCACACCATCGTCCAGTGAAGGTGCAGAAGAAGGCATTATGACAGCTGCAGCTTCACAAAAGAAAACTTAAAGAAAAGTACATGAACATCAAGCAAGGAACATGGCAAACATGGGCTGGAGATTGTGTAGGTGGGACCTGGTAATTGTCTTTAGACACCAGTATCATTTAACTTCAAAGGCTTATTGTGCCTCAGTGAGTGATTCTATGTGTTTGTCTGTCTCGAGTTCTCTTATTGACATAGGAGAACTAATGATATGATGTAAAAAAGAAGCATCTTTTGCAATATTTTTATTCCACTTATACAGTACTTTTTTCTCTGAGGGTGCTGTACAAATAAAATATTGAGATAATAAGCCATTTTGAAATGTCAAAACACTGAAGAATAAGAAAGTGGCTAGGAGAAATAAATACACAGAAGCAGTAGAGGCTTTAGATCACTGATGGGCATGCACAGCAGGTTAGCAATTCTTTGGCTAAATCCATTGCATTCACCGTTGGTGCTGTAAATGGCTGGGGGCTTGACATGGAGGCCTTTTCCTTGGGCCAGTCTAATGCACACCATTCTACATCCTGTGGTTGAGGTTGAAGACCATGAGTTTTCGTGTCAGATGGATCTGTATTTAAATCCTGATCCTGCTACTTACTCGCTATTAATTTGGAACAAATTACCTAAATTTTCTGAGCCTCAGTTTCTTCATCAGTAAAGTGGTGGTAATTATAACTCCCTTGTTAGGGTTGTTCAGAGGATTAAAGTAAATGAGTTAAATACATAAAACATTTAGTTCAGTGCCTGGCACATAGTAAATGCAACATAAATGCTAGCTAGCTGTTATGTTCAGAATATGTCAGAATAGTGATTCTGATGAGGTTGTAGAGCATAATAGCAACAGCTTCTTTGGTTCAAAAGATAAGGCAGGGCTTCCCTGGTGGCGCAGTGCTTGAGAGTCCGCCTGCCGATGCAGGAGACGCGGGTTCGTGTCCCGTTTCGGGAGGATCCCACGTGCCGCGGAGCGGCTGGGCCCGTGAGCCGTGGCCGCTGGGCCTGCGCGTCCGGAGCCTGTGCTCCGCAAATGGGAGAGGCCACAACAGTGAGAGGCCCGCATAACGCAAGGAAAAAAAAAAAAAAAAAGATAAGGCAAAATGGAGTTGTCAGGATCTTCTGTTCCTTTTCTGAATTGATGCAGTGAAGTATAATCTGTACTTCATAAACTAGTATAAGATTTTTTAAAATGAAACATACAGAGACTAAACATAGTAATTTAAACAGTCATACACTGACCACTAGCTTTAAGAAATAAAAAAAAATTACAGATAGAATTGAAGATCCTGGTTCCTCCCACCCCCAGATAGCTATTATCCTAAATTTGGTGTATCATTTCCACATGTTTTTATATTGTAATTATGTACCAATAAACAATATATGGTATTTTTACATATTTTAAATTTTTATATAAATATTATTAGATATATATCTTTCTGTAGCTTGCTTTTCTCAACATTGTTTTTGAGATTTTTCTGTTGTACTTATAGCTCTATTCATTTATTTTAACTGCCATAGAGTATTTCATCATATAAATGAATATATCACTTTATTCTCTGTCAATGGACATTGTCTATAATTTTGAATATCTCTGCATAGCTCTCACTTCACACCCCCCAAATCTCAGACATAACCACCCTCCTGAATTGTGTTAATTTTTTTAGTGTTTATAGATACATATTCCTAAACAATATATTATTTAAAGTTTTGCCTGTTTTTAAGGTTTGTGCAATACAGTCTTACTATGTTATTTAGTGACTTACTTTTTTGTTCAACATTATAATTTTGAGATTTATTCATGTTGATGTGTGTGGCAATAGTTATTTTCACTGTGTACATTATTTGAATATAATATAATTTATGGTCCTTTAGGTCTGACTTTTTACTATTACAAACAGTATGTAATCAACATACTTGTACCTGTGTGTTGAATTTCCGTCAGGCATATACCTAGTAATAAAATGACTGGGGTATAGGTAATGTATGTGCATCTTTATCTTTAATGGATATTGATAAGTAGTAATTACATTATCATTTAATTATACATATTTTCTAATTTCTGATTTGATCCATGAGTTTAAAGTGTGTTTTAGAAACTTCCAAATATATAGGATTTTTTTTTTGTACCAATTTTTAACTTAATTGCTCTGTGGTCAATTAATAATGCCTGTATCTTACAATTCTTTGGTATCTGTTGAGACTTTTGCTTTATAACCTAATGTGTGGTCACGGTTTATCCAGGTTTTAGGTAGTTTTTATAAATATTCCAAATGTGTTTGAAAATAATTCATTATCTAATTGTCAGTTTCCCATAGATACAATCATTTTTGCTTTACATATTTTGAGGCTTTGTTATTAGGTGCATACAGATTAAGAATTGTTTTATATTTCTGGTAATTTTTTTCACTATTATGTAATGATCCTCTTTATCTCTAACAATGCTTTTGCCTTAAAGTCTACATTTCCTAACAGTACTATAGCTATTACTGGCTTTTTAATCATTTGTATTTGCTGGTATTTTGTTTATATACTTTGAAAGTTTTCTCTCGTGTTAATGTTTTTAGTATGTCTCTTGGAAACTACATAAAACAGGACTTTGTTTATTCAGTCTGAATTTTCTATCTTTTAACTGCTAAGTTTAGTCTGTTTACATTTATTACCACTACTGATATATCTGTACTTACTTCTACCACATATTATGTGTTTTGTATTTACCCTTTTTTCCTCTGCTGTTTTTTTCCTTTTTATCTGTCCTTTATTGGTTTGAACAACTTTTCTTTGTTTTATCCTTGATTACCCCTACCCTAAAATTTTAACATGTATTTGGCTTTGCAGAGTCTTACATTAAAATCAGTATGTCTACCACTCATCTTGGAAATCTTTAACTCACCCTCTACCAATCTTCTATGTTTTTGACCAGTATTTTACTTCAGTTCTTTTTATCACCCAAATTAGTTTTAATTTTTATACTAACTTGCATTATTTTCTAATACCCAAGGCAATTGTGAACTCCTTATTTAAACTGGTTTTCTCACACTTTCTCTTCAGATTTTCAAAAGAAACAACCAGACGATGATTCCACTCCAAGTACAAGTAACAGCCAATCAGATTTGTTTTCTGAAGAGACCACCAGTGACAACAGCAATACCTCGATAACCACGCCAACTCTTAGTCCCAGCCAGCAGCCGCTTCCGACAGAACTGAATGTAACTTCACCAAGTAAAGAGGAGTGTAAGTCTCAGATCCTGTGAAGTGGTAGAGAAAGCAGCCTAAGAATCATATCATAAGTTTCTTAGTAATGCCTCTTCCAGAAAAATTGATAGCAGCTCTTTCAATTCAAGATTAAGTGTTTAACATATAGGCCCCAAGTCAGCAAGGTAGAGAGTAAGTTTCAGCCTTCCATTGACCTTAAGGTTGTTTTGTGTGTGTGTGTGTGTGTGTGTGTGTGTGTGTGTGTGTGTGTGTGTGTGTGTGTGTGTGTGTTTTAAATTTATTTTATTTATTATTTTTGGCTATGTTGGGTCTTCATTGCTGTGCGCGGGCTTTCTCTAGTTGTGAACGGGGGCTACTCTTTGTTGCGGTGCGCAGGCTTCTCACTGCAGTGGCTTCTCTTGTTGTGGAGCACGGGCTCTAGGCGTGCGGGCTTCAGTAGTTGTGGCACTCAGGCTCAGTAGTTGTGGCTTGCGGGCTCTAGAGTGCAAGCTCAGTAGTTGTGGTGCACAGGCTTAGCTGCTCCACGGCACGTGGGATATTCCTGGACCAGGGCTCGAACCCGTGTCCCCTGCATTGGCAGGCAGATTCTTAACCACTGTGCCACCAGGGAAGCCCGCTTAAAGTTTTCTTAAAGGATTGCCTTTTATGTTAACTGTCAGGGTACACGAGGTTTTGAACCAGTTTAGGGCAGTTGTTCTCAGCCCTGGCTGTAAATTAGAATCCACTGGGGATTTTTAGAACAATTTTAATCTTCAGCACCATTCTCTGAATCTGTAATTTAATTGGTCTGGAGTGAGGCTCAGTGATATGTTCTTTTTAATTCTTCAGAGAATTCAAATATGCAGCAAGAATTGAGGACCACTGGTCTAGGGAACTTAACCTGATTTAGGAGCCTTTGATTGAAGCCTTGCCTCTGTCACTAAGTGGGCCTCAAGTGTTTCTAGGCAGTTAACAAGATAACACTATATACTTCATAGAACATAGGATATTTGAAGGGAGGAGGAAGTAGTTTCTTTTACTCTTCTGTAAGTTCTCAGTGACAGAATACTATTATCATATATGTGATATGGAAGTCCATTGTCCACTTAAGCTTTATAATGCTGTAACCATTTCCTTTAGGGCACAACTGTAACTGGCAGGGTTTGTTGAAAATTGTAGTGATGTTATGACATAGCAGCTTTTTACCTTTTAAAAGCTTTACTTAACAGGTTGAAATCTGGTGTTTCAAATTTAATGAATATCTAGAAATCCTTGGAATATGGTAGGTTAGAATGTTCTATCTACTAACTTTGGAAAGATTATCAGAGAACAAATGTTTATCTAAACCCCTATCATAAACCACTGTACTAGGTAATGTTGAGAATATAAAGGTTAAAAAAGGCCATAGTCCCTGTCCTCAAAGAATTTACTGTTTAGCAGTGGAAATTAAATATATTTCTTATATCAGTAGTTCTCAACCAGGAGTGAGTTTGCCCCTCCCCCTCCCCCCAATGCTGTAAACATCTGACACTGTATCGGACAGCCCTCCACAGCAAGGAATTATCCAGCCTGACAGGTTAGTAATGCCAGGGTTGAGAAACCCTGATACATGGTTGTATGCACCTATTTTAATGGTCTTTCTTACGTATTGAAGACATCGACTGTTGAAGAAGGGTGTTGGTTTACTGGAGAAGGTGCTGTTGAAGATAGACACAATATGGAGGAAAGCTGCATGGAGTTCTGCAATGGCAAGTGACTCCTTTAGGGCCATTTATGGAGGACAAGGCTGGGCAGGTAGATTGTGGCCGTGCCATTGAGACTTGAATGCTCAGCGAAGATATTTGGCCGTTAGACAGTAGTCATGTTTTTGTGCAAAGGAAGTAATATTACTACAGTTATTTTGCAGAAGTAGCATGGCAGTATTGAAAATGGGAAGGATTGTACTAGATAACATTGCACAGAGAAAAATTTTAAATTATTGTAACCTATTGAATAGAGGCCTAGGCAAAGGTGTTGAAATTATGTAAGAGGAGAAAAAAAGATGAAAATGGTAGTGATAATGTTAAGGCAGTAGGTTTTGTTTTGTTTTTAAAAATCTGTTGAGGGTTGTGTACTTTTTTTTTTTTTTTTTTTTGGGGTACGCGGGCCTCTCACTGTTGTGGCCTTTCCCGTTGCGGAGCACAGGCTCCGGATTTTTTTTTTTTTTTTTGGTGGTACGCGGTCCTCTCACTGTTGTGGCCTCTCCCGTTGCGGAGCACAGGCTCCGGACGCGCAGGCTCAGCGGCCATGGCTCACGGGCCTACCCGCTCTGCGGCATGTGGGATCTTCCCGGACCGGGACACGAACCCGTGACCCCTGCATTGGCAGGCGGACTCTCAACCACTGTGCCACCAGGGAAGCCTGAGGGTTGTGTACTTCTTGAGAGGCTGATGAAAGCTCTGACCCCTTGTCTCAGAAAAATACACACCAACCATTTATACTCAATTTTGAATAAAATTTTTCTAAATCTCACTATGGCCTTTGGTTAAGAACTCCTTGTCTAAGGGAAAGGTTGGAGCTGATCAGAATCTCATCTTATGGAATGGCATCTGACTGGATTCACACACACCAGGATCAGGCCAGGATCAAAACAACTTGAGCAGCCCAAGTGTTCTGAGATAACAACAGCTACCTTTAATTGAGCACTTTATGTGCAAGATACTATTCTATATGTTTTGCATATTTTTTCTTTTACTCCTCATGACAACTCATTGAGGTGTAAATACTCAGTTTCCCCATTGTATAGAAGGAAACAGGCACAAAGAGATCAAGTAATTTGCCTGTGGTAGCAAACTAGTAACCAGAATAGCATTCAAATTCAGGCATTTGGCTTTAGAACTCATGCTTTTAATTAGTTAATTCACAATGTGAAATATAACTGCCACAGAGAATACAAGTATTCATGTTGGTAAGATCAACACTTTTTCTGTGAAATTAAGGTATGTGGAAACGCACATGGTAACCAAAAGTTACTTGATTAATTCATCATGAAATACCCTTATAACAGGGATTGAAAATAAAAACACTATATCCATATGACTGTATGACTAAAATATTTTCTCTGGAGTCAGATCTTTATGGGAAGCAGACCCATAACAAGGATTCACATAGCAAATGGCAGAGTGTGGACTCAGAACAAGTGGAGTTAGAGGAAGTGAAAGTTTGAGTCACGCTGATTGTCAGGTGCACTCTGAGGACATATAGGGAAGGTCTTACGTTCAGTACAAGATTCCATCTTTATGCCCTTTTTCCCTCCTCTGCTTGGGATTAGACCTACCCTGAGCTCTGGAGCCCCTAGGACACAGCACTTCCTGTGTTTCCATAACTTGCCACTCTAGGCTGCTGTAGACTGCCACATTTTTCCTTTCGATATATACGTAAATACCTTCAATCTGATTAAGGATGTGTAGTTCTACCAGTTTCAGATCCATTCCCTCTTTCTGGTGACATCACTGCTTTAAACCATTGTGTGTTTAACTCTTCAAGTGAAACTCTCAAGAGTCTAATCTCATTTCCGAATTCTTCTGGAGCTCATTATTGTAAACCTTGGATTTTCATAGATCTGGAGAGAGGAGGAGATTTGCTAATATGAGGTTTAATGATGACTTAAGTGTTCAACTGGGCAGTTTGAGTTGGAGCTCAGGAGAAAGAAGTCAAGGTTGGCTTCATCCACATGCAGGTGATAAGTGAGATTGCCAAAGGTGAGAAGAAAGAAAAGCAGTGAGAATAGAACCTAGAGGGGAACCAAAACAGAAGAGGCAACTGAAGTCAGAGAGGAGGCAAATGATAGTGGGCAAGGTCACAAAAGGCAAGGAACAAATTTCAACGTATGGTGTAGGCTTTATTAATAATAATGAAAATATTCACTCATATTTATAAAGTGTTTGGCTATCTTCTAAGCTCTTTACACATACTAACATTTAATTCTCAATACTACTAATAATAATGAAATATTAATAATGAAATAATAATTAATATTATTAATAATGAAAATATTCACTCATATTTATGAAGTGTTTGGCTATCTTCTAAGCCCTCTTCTAAGCCCTTTACACATACTAACATTTAATTCTCACAGTGCCCTATAAGGTAGGTGCTTTTATTATCCCTGTTTTTACAAATGAGGAAGTTGAAGCATAGAGTGGTTCAGTAACTTCTACCCAAAATTCAGAGCTCTTGCTGCCCAGTGTAGCTCATGCTCTAACCCACTGATTTGGCTCCAGAGCCTGTGCTTTCAACCACTATAGTATATTGCCTCAACATTGTGAAAATGCTTCAGGAAACTGTAAGCTGACAAGAAAAATTTGGATTTGGTGATCATGTGATTAATTCTCTAAATAAACTAATAAACTGTTTCAGTGGTTTGTATATTCATTTAGCAGTCTTTGTTAAATGGCACTAGGTTAAGTGCTGGGTACAGAAATGAATAAGATTAGGTCTCTATCCACAAGGAGGTCACCTTTTCAGATGCATACGTCTCTCCTTGAGTTTCTGGTTTGTTCTCCCTAACAGGTGCATGAGAATTTTAGGGTGAAAGGGAGGCAGTAGCAGGAATAGTGGTTAATAAGCATGTCATTTGCAAAAGCTTTCTCAGGCGAGTTTTGCCATCTCGCCTAGGTTGAAAACTATGCTAGAGTGAGGAGATATGTGCCTGGTTTGTGGATGCGGGGGGTATAGGGATAAGAAAAGTAAGGAAGGTTTGTTAAAGCTGTCAGGGCAGATGCATTGTAAGTCAACAGGAGGTAATTAAAATGATTGCCAAGTAGCGGTGAAGACCCAGGTGAGAGTAGAGGGCCTGACCCATTGACACCTTGTACATTTCTTCAACTGTGACCTACCTAGGAGAAGAAAGGTGGAGGAAGAGGCAGCAGGAGATTACTTATATTAATCTTTTAGTATCCTCAAGAGACCAGAATTTCATCTGTTGGTCCTTAGCTTCCCCTAGAGAGTTATGGAGAAGTAAGGTGTAGGAGTTGCTGGGAAATGGGTTTGGGATTCCA